GTATGATAGTTATATCACAGGGGCTTTTATGTTGTTAACCCTAATAACAATGAATGATTAGTCAATTGCACGTCAACAAATAGATCAAATTGCATCTCCTTCGATAATTCACCAAAGCTAACAGTTAACCTTTCTGAAAGGATGACCCAAGCATTGCAGGTCACTACGAAAATGAAGGATGGAGATCAGATGAAAGAGAGCAATAAAGAGGCCGGTAGTTTTCTTTTGCTTTTCATCCTCATAAAACACCAATGATTACCTATGCATTTGTTAGTGAAACATACAAGGAATCTAAATAAAATGGGTGGATTCTTGGGAAATGAATAGTAGGTAAAAATTTCACTCATGAAACTAATTATAACTTCTATGTCCACATCCAAACAGATAAAGTAGTTACTGTTCCGCAACCATTTTGAATTATTAGTCCAAACACAGCCTGTAGTTTCCTATCTTTCAATCTTATCTCCCCTTTCAAGTTTTCAGACTTTTTGCTTGTTGCTTACCTACACAATATAATCTGGAGAAAAAAAAAAGAATAGTGAAAAATGGCACTGATAGAAGTCTTTCTTGGTGCAATCATCAAGGTGATATTTGACAAGCTTGCTTCTGTGGATTTGAAGAAATTTGCACGCTCAGAAGGCTTAGATACTCAGCTGAAACGATGGATCCAAGTGCTATCCCTGATTCAGGCAGTGCTTGATGATGCAGAGGACAAGCAGAATATGAGGATTGCTGTGAAGCACTGGCTAGATGATCTTCAGGATTTGGCATATGATATGGATGATGTGATCGACGAATTCTCCACTGAAGCTTGTCGAAGAAAGTTGATGGAAGCTCATGGCTCTACTAGCAAGGTAAGAAAGGCTAAAATCCCTTCCTGTTGTACAAATTTTTCTGTTAAAGATTATAAGTTCAACAGAAAAATGGCTCCCAAGGTGGATGAAATAACTAGAAGATTGGAGAGCATGAAAGAACAAATCAAAATCCTCCATTTGGCAGAGACTGTAGCAAAGAGGCCGAACAAAAATAGGGATAGATTGCCATCAACTTCCTTGGTGGAGTCTTATGTTTATGGTCGAGAGAATGACAAAGAAGAGCTGCTGAAATTGCTCCTTTCAAATGAATCGAGTGATGATCAAGTGGTTGTGATACCAATTGTTGGCATGGGAGGGGTTGGTAAAACAACTCTTGCTCAAATGGTGTACAATGATGACAGAGTCAACGAATTTTTCGATTCCAAGGCTTGGGCTTGTGTTTCAGATGATTTTGACATTGTTGGGGTAACAAAGACAATCCTTAAAGCAATCACACGAGGTGGCTGTGATTATGAGGATCTGAATATGGTTCAAGTGAAACTGAGTGAGGCCTTGACCAGGAAGAGGTTTCTAATTGTTTTAGATGATGTTTGGAATGAAAAATACGAGGACTGGGACATCCTGCGCCGCCCATTTCTAGTTGGTTCATCTGGGAGCAAGATAATTGTCACCACTCGGCATCATAGGGTGGCATCAGTAATGTCTTCCACTGCTGGATATAGTCTGAAGGAGTTGACAGATGATGAAAGCTTATGGTTACTGGCAAGACATGCACTAGGAAGGACAAATTTTGACAGGCACCCCAATCTAGAAGGCATTGGTAGGAGTATTGTAAGGAAATGTAAGAACTTGCCCTTGGCCGTGAAGACTCTTGGAGGGCTGTTGCGTGCTAGATCGACCCCAGATGAATGGACGGATATACTGAACAGTGAGATATGGGAAATAAAAGAGGATCAAAGTGATATTCTTCCAGCACTAAGATTAAGCTATTATCATCTTCCTGCCCATCTAAAACCGTGCTTTGCTTACTGCTCCATATTTCCCAAGGACTATGAGTTTGACAAATATGAGCTTGTATTGCTCTGGATGGCAGAGGGTTTTCTCGAGGAATCAAAAGCAAGTGATCTTATGGAGGACACAGGGGACAATTATTTTAAGGAGCTACTAATGAGGTCCTTCTTCCAGCAGTCAAGTTCCGCTAGTTCACGTTTTGTGATGCATGACCTTATTAACGATCTAGCTAGATATGTTGGTGGAGATTTTTGTTCCAGACTGACAGACGACTTGGAAGAGAACATCAAATGCACGATTCTTGACAAGGTTAGGTACACATCATTCACAAGTTCAATGTATGGAGCTTCACAAAAGTTTAAAACACTTCAGAAAGCAAAACATTTGCGGAGTTTCCTACCCGTTTCTGGCAAGTATGACGGCGACTTTTACATCGCTAAAAAGGTCATAACAGAACTTTTGCTGGAATTGCGATACCCAAGGGTGCTATCATTCAGTGGATATTCTATCTCTGATCTACCAAATTCCATTGGTGAATTAATACATCTAAGGTACCTGAATTTGTCTGGTACTTCGTTGAAAGTGTTGCCTGAATCATTGAGTAACCTTTGCAATTTACAAACACTACGTTTGCGCGACTGCTGGGGGCTGATTAACTTACCGGTGGGTATTAGAAAATTAATTAACCTGCGCCATCTTGAAAATTTCAATACTAGTCAATTGCATGAGATGCCTTCAGGGATTGATCAGTTGACGAGCTTGCAGACACTATCCAAAGTGGTTGTGAGCAAAAATGGTGGGTTCAGGCTGAATGACTTGGGGAACTTGTCCTTACTGGCAGGGTCACTCGCCATTTTGGAGTTGCAAAATGTTACGAATGTTCAAGAAGCACGGGATGCCAATTTGAAGAACAAGAGGGACCTTGATAACATAGTATTGGCATGGAATAGTGAATATGATGGTTCTCTGAGTAAAGTTCTTCAACAAGATTTGCTCGAGGCACTACGACCACACACAAACCTAACGAGTCTTGAAATTGAGTTCTATAAGGGAGACAAATTCTCTTCCTGGGTGGGGGATTCTTCATTTACTAAATTAGAAGAAGTAAGCCTTAGAGGTTGTACACACTGCAAGTGTTTACCATCACTCGGGCAATTGCCTGCGCTCAAGGATTTGAGCATTCAAACCATGCTTGAGGTGAAGGCAGTAGGTACGGAGCTATGTGGCAAAGATTGCTCTCGGGAATTTTCCTTTCCATTGCTTGAAAGTCTAACATTTGATGACATGCCAGAATGGGAGGAATGGACTTGCTTAAGTTCAGCAGGAGAGAACGAATGCCACTTCCCTCTGCTCCAAAAGCTCTGTATAAGTAGATGCCCAAAGTTGAAAAGCATTCCTGTTTTGCAGCTTCCTTCACTCTCTGAACTAAAGTTGCAAAAGTGCTCGGTGGGAATTGCAAAATGTTTATACAATTTGACCTCATTAAACAATTTGGATTTTCGGCAGATTATAGGGCTTGCATCCCTCGAGGATGCGTTCATGCAGTTCCCATCAGGCCTTGAAGATATCACATTACGTGAGTGCCATCAACTGAAGAATTTGTGGGGCTCAAGTAATACTGTAAACCTTGTGCAGCTAAAATCTTTAGTTGTTTCAGAATGTTCACAGCTTTCATCCTTGGAGGAGCTTGCTGTTTTACCCATGCTTAAATATCTTAAGATAGAAAGTTGCAGTGCTCTCCTGTCTTTGCCTACATTATCTGGTCTTAACACATTGGAAATAAGCAGTTGCTCAGCCCTCAGTTGCTTGCCAATGGACAAGTTGCTCCTCCCTCAGCTTAGGAATCTTGGGATCAGACATTGCCAGAAACTGAACCTTACTCCGGAGATTGTCATAGAGGACACTAGCACATCGATTGAGAGTCTGGAAATCGTTGGCTGCCCATGTCTGAATTTGAGAACAATGCTTGGTTCAGTCTACAGTTTTGCAAGTCTCCGGTTTTTGGATATTAGGGATTGTGATTATGATCTGGATCAATTGCCCACTCCAAGTTTGGAACGTCTTTCCTTGTGCAGATGCAAAAATGTTAGTTACTTGCCCAGTGGTTTGGGACGACTAAGATCTCTGTTGTTGTATTCTTGTTCAAGTCCTTTGTTATTTCCACAAGGAGATTTTCCTCCCACTCTGAAGTTTCTTGACATAGAGGCAGGAGAAAACTTACAGCTGAAGCCCCTGTCAGAATGGGGACTCAACAGACTCACGTTTCTTGAAAGGTTCTACATCCGTGGTGGATATCCAGGGCTGGAATCATTTTCTGGTAGTGGTGATGATGGATTGGCTTTGCTTCCTCCGACTCTTAGGTCCGTCGCCATTGGTGACTTGCGAAATCTGAAATCGCTCTCCACGTTCTTGCGAGGTCTTACAGCTCTTCGATATCTGCATATCTTTAACTGCCCCGAGCTTGGATCCCTACCAAAGGAATCGCTGCGTAATCCGCTTCAAACTCTAGTAATTAATAAATGCCCACTTCTTGAGAAAAGGTGTTTGATGGATAGAGGAGACTACTGGCCCATGATTGAAGACATTCCCTGTGTGGAAATACGCAGTGATGGCATCAAGTAAGCAGAGATTTAGATTTCTTACTGATTTTCACTTAAAATTATTGTCCAAAATTTTTTTTGTTGACTCCAACAAATTTCTTGAATGGAAAAGAAGTGTCGAAATTCAAATAGAGGAATCATATTACTTTTATGTGTCATGTGAAATTTATATTAGTAATTTCCTCCTTTAAAGCCCAGTAAATAATTTTTCTCACTTTTAACTAGCTTGAGAAGAAACTCAGATGTCAATCGTGCTTTGCTTACCATGTTAAATTGATTCTTTGACCTTTCAGCCTGTGTCTTTTTATGCAGATCGGGTTCGATGCACTTTTTTTCTTATCATTCTGATTAAGCTGTGTGCACTCTTTTCACTTAAGATGGTAAGGTAATATATTCGTGTTCCATGATTTCTTTGCATTAGCTTATCAAGTTGATATTTTTATTGCATTAGTTTATTTTTTTTTATTGCATTAGTTTATTGGGAGGGCACTTAGTTTATAGTTCGAATCCTGTACCTGTACCTGAACTTGGGTTTATTTTTCTTGTTCAGGTAAAATATTTGTTGGCACGTTGACGTAGGCTCAACTCGCTCGGCAAGCCTATGCGCCTAGAATGCAGATTGTATTTTGCTAAGTCCCTACCGTTCCTGCCTTGATGATATTGTAAGTCTCTTTGTTGGGCCTTATTCTGATTTGTAGAGATGGGTTTGGACGGATTTGATTAACATAATTGAATTGTGACTAACATCTTTAATATTTGCCACTTTACAAAAGGTTGTTACTCTTTTTAGAATAGACGTAGTCAGAATCATTTGAAATTTGGAGTTCAAAGTTCTATATGTTGTAAACTATTCTAATTTAGAAGAATCTTTAAAAATTTTTAGAATCTTTAATTTAATTTCTATCTTCACCTTGTCATGACTCAACATTTGAGAAATTACATGAGGAGGGCGTTTATTTAAAAGATTGAAGGTTTAGTCAAGCGCCTAACCGACTTGTTGCATTAAGATATAAGGTTTAGAACAAGTGAATCTTGTCTTCTTCCTTAGTATGGTTAATTAGTTCATAAATTCTCTGTTTCGATCATTTGGTTATCAAAACTTGCTAAAATACTTACCTCAAATACTTACACAATTACGGAAAACCTACAAGATCGAATGTCACCTTTCACAAGGAAAATTCTGTCGTTTTCTGTCCATATCTGTGTACGTAATACAATGTTTAATAGATGTGTAACTTCAGGATGCAAAAAATTAAAAATCATGACTCAAAGGAGAAAAGTAAAAATAGCTGATAACTCTACGGAGGTAAAAGTAAAATAGTTGATCAATCATTTATGATAAATATTATTTAGACTAACTTACCCATATGTGTTTTGGAACTAACTTGGGCGAGATTACTTTGGGATGGATTTAGATTGATCCCGCTCAATACCCAAATCTATTTTCTACATATATTTTTTTCCTTTAATTCATTTTTTATTTTTTATATAACTTTAATATTTTTGATTTATTAAATTTCTTTTAGTTTTATTAAATAAACATGCAAGTGCTTTATACTCAGGATTCCCACCAAAAATTGGATTAACAAATAAAGGAACAGATAGATATACAACCATATTCCAACATATATCAAGATGGCCAAGGCACTTAGGGTGTTGAATATTTATCCTCATCATTGTCCAAGGATGACTGGTCTAAACTGACTGAAATGCTGGAAATTCTTGTGGATAATGACTAGGAAGACTGCTAGATTATATTCGCTGGTATGACTATAAAAATTGTTAAAGATAATTTTTGAATCTAAGACTCTATTTGGATTGGCTATTTTTTCAAAAAATAAGTTTTTCAAATACAATGTTACAGTAATATACAATAACTTAAAAAACATCCCATCCATATTAGTATATCAAATATTTCAAAAAAATTTTATAGTAAAATTTTTTCATATACACTGCTACAATAAAATATTTCGAAAATACCTCCAAAAACAGCTAATCCAAATGGAGCCCTTGCTATTTAAGCCCAATGGGTACCCAAGTATTTCCCAAAATTTTCCATCAATTAATGGGTACAATTGAAATTTGTTCCATTTTAAACCCAATATCAAATTCCAGTACCCATCCCGTCCAAAGTCCCCATGGACATGGGTAACCCAATGGGATTTGGGATAAATTGCCACCTCTAATAAATATGAGAGTGGGACTTAATAGGAGGGAGGGCGTAAGAGGATTGGAGCTCATGACCTCTAATTTTGGGATCTTGATCTTAATCACTAGATCAAGATATTCCCCAACTGGTATAGCCAACCTTCTAAATATACTACGTACAATTGCCATTTTTCCTTATTTGCAACTTTAACATTTACTTGGAGCTTATTCTCAACTACGTTTGAGTAGTTTTGGAATTCAAATATGAAATAATTTCAAAACTTTGTTTGAAACAATGAAAAATCATCCTTGTTTTCAATGTTTTGAGAAGTTAAAAGCTGTTTTGAGAAACAATAAAAAATAATAGTTTTACTTTCACAAAGATATTTATAATTTGTTTTAAGTAGTTCAAAAGACTCTTACTAGCATCTTCTGCAAGAGAAGCTTCCCAAAAAGCCAAAATTTAGTATTTTTAAAGTTAAAAAAGCCAAAATTATGTATCCCTAAAGTTAAATCTACATCCTTTCATTTTAAATCCATACTTTATATATGGCATATTTTATCAATGTTCAAAAGGGGGGGGGTTTCATTTAGTCCCTCTCTTCCCCGCAACTTCATCTTTCTTAGTGTAAATTACTAATAAGCCTATTGTGGTTCAATATATTGTTACATGACTCTCCTAAGGTTTTAACATATTCATAATTTCATAATATTCCTCTGTAATTTTATGTAGAGTAAAAAATAAATGAAAATGCTATCGAATAATGTTAGACATGCTGTAAAAATACGTGTGATAAAATCATAATATTTGTTTACCTTTCATATGATTTAGTGAAATATATATTTTACTCTTTCGTAGTTTTTACATTTATCTACATAATTTACAGGGGATTATATGCAAAAACTTCAGAAGAAGCCCCACTCCTAGGGATGGCAATGGGGGCGGGTGCCCGCGGGTGCCCGCCCCGCGGGGGACTCTTGGGGCGGGGGTTGGGGCGGGGGCGGGGGGGAATTTTTTCCCCCCGTTTAGTAACGGGGCGGGGGACGGGGGAGTATACCCCCGCCCCATCCCCCGCCCCGCCCCCCGCAAAAGAAAAAGTGTATATATATAAATATATATAATATATAATTTAATTAGTTATAAACTTATGATAATAATACTATTAGTTAGATGTATTATATAATGTATATTAGTGTATGTAATATAATTGATATTATCAATGATACGAATAATTAGACATGTCTACTAGAGGTGGCAAAATGGGCGGGATGGGCGGGATTTGCTTGGGTTTAAGATGGAACCGAGTCATATGGGTTTGGGCCCAACCTTACCCATATATGTTTTGGGACTAACTTGGGCGGGATCACTTTGGGATGGGTTTAGATTGATCTCGCCCAATACCCAAATCTATTTTATACATATTTTTTTCCTTTAATTTATTTTTATTTTTTATATAATTTTAATATTTTTGATTTATTAAATTTCTTTTAGTTTTATTAAATAAACATGCAAGTGCTTTATACTCAGGATTATCACCAAAAATTGGATTAACAAATAAAGGAAAAGATAGATATACAATCATGACTATAAAAATTGTTAAAGATAATTTTTGAATCTAAAACTCCGTTTGGATTGGTTATTTTTTCAAAAAATAAGTTTTTCAAATACAATGTTACAGTAATATACAATAACTAAAAAAACATCCCATCCATATTAGTATATCAAATATTTCAAAAAAAGTTTATAGTAAAATTTTTCATATACACTACTACAATAAAATATTTCAAAAACACCCCCCAAAAATAGTTAATCCAAACGGAGCCCTTGCTATTTGAGCCCAATGGGTACCCAAGCATTTTCCAAAATTTCCCATCAATTAATGGGTACAATTGGGATTTGTCCCATTTTAAACCCAATATCAAATTCCAATACCCATCCCGCCCAAAGTCTCAATGGGCATGGGTAACCAATTGGGACTTGGGACAAATTGCCACCTCTAATGTCTACTAATAGAATTTATTAATTAGTTATACTAAATTTACTAATACATTTATACTAAATTTCTAATTACACTTAATAGAATAACACTTTTTTCTCAAAAAAAAAGCACAAACACAATAATGAATTAGTGATTGTATTTGTACCAAAAGTGAAAACTTGACTATTTTAGTTGTATTTATTTCATCATATTGGATTGTATTCAAATAACTTTTGTTTGATTGTTTTTATGAGTTTCAATTGTAAAATTACAATGAATAATAACTTGATGAAGTGTTGATATTTTAGTACTTGATTATTTATTAAAATTTAACTATAATAAAATTTTATTAATCCCGCAGGAAAAATTTTATTAACCCCACGGGGGCACCCGCGGGGGAAGCGGGGCGGGGCGGGGGGAGTGGGAGGCGGGGGGGCGGCGGGACGGGGGAGTGGGCGGCGGGGCGGGGGACGGGGGGAATTAATAGGCAACGGGGCGGGGGCGGGGGAGGGGTCCCCGTTGCCATCCCTACCCACTCCATGTACCAAAACAAATTAACGCGTTAATGTATGGCCCTTGCTTGACTTATAGGGTTTGGCTCTCAGCAAAGTCAAGTCAACTTCCAATATAATTTGATATTGGAAGCGCGGTTTGGCTGGGCAAGAATTGGCCGATTGGGACTGCAAAGATTATCCAATGGGTTCTTTGAGGGGCTGCTGTGTTAGAAGTCTCATTTGTATGCATAAGGCTCCTAAAAACCCAAAATTATGTATTCCTCAAGTTAAATCTACATCCTTTCATTTTAAATCCATATTTTGTACATGGCATATATTGTCAATGTTCAGAAGCGTGGTTTGATTAGTTTTCCTCTGCCTCCCCACCCCCAACCGCCCCCCCGGAAACACACACACACAACCACACACACACCAAAACCCACCCCAACTCTGCAGGTAACTTCAATTTTCTTAGCATAAATTACTTATAACCTAATTGTGATTTTCTCCTTGTAATATTTTACATTTATCCACATAATCATTCAAGAGTTATATACATGAGTAGTTATTAGTAATTATCATAGAAGTTATTAGTAATTTACCCATTTCTTAAGGCTGTTTCTTCATTTGTTCAACAAGTCTCAGAAGACCCAACCAAAAGATGTATTCAAACAAATTAACACGCTAATTTCGATTGATAATATTATGACCCTTGCTTACCTTTTAGGATTAAGATTTAAGCTCTTAGTCAAGTCAAGTCAACTTCCTATACACTTTGGTTTTTTTTTTTTTTTTTTTTTGAGAAGAATAGGTATATAATTTGATATTTCTCTGAGAAGAATAGTTATCCTTTTTTTGTTTGGGTCCAAAAGAAGGGTTTTGGTTAGAAGCTTTATCCTTTTATTTAATTTATCTTATTTTACAATTCATTGGTAAAAGGAATAGACAAATGCATTCAATTAAAGAAAATGCAAACTTCACATCCTTAATTAATCACCTTTCCTGTTTACTAATCAATGGTTACTTCACATCCTTACTTCAAAAAATTTTAAGACGTTAAGATATATTTTTGTCCAAATTGATGAAAAAAACATTTTGGAAGTAGCAAAAGGAGAAACTGTAACTAATAAAATGAGATGGAGAGAATATTAATTTTGCTAATTCAGATGGGACTTTCACAATGTTTCTAAATTTCTTTCTTTATAAATATATCACAAACTTTATAAATATATCCGTCCTTTTGTATAGGTGGGAGATTTGAAACCCTCGCCTGCTCTTGAAGTCCAGGATTTCTAGGAAACTTCTTCTAACGGGTGCAATTGCACCCGTTTAGTTCAGACTTCAGAGGTGATAGTCTCCTCTGAATTTCGACAGCTCAAATAATGGCCCCATTGGACGTATACTATTGGAGTAATTGTAGGATATTGCCCTTTGGCATATAAAATAACAAGGAGGAAATCGTTTAAAACGTTTTTCACATCTCGCTAAATGAATTTTTTCATTCCTCGCATAGCCCACATATGGTTGGGGAGAGGGGAGAAAGAAGGAAGAGGGATGGGTTGAGTGGTTTGAGAAGAGGGAATGTAATTAAGAGATTTGGGTTCATTTTTTTAAGGGCAAAAATGTTAAATCCCATTTATAGTTAAACAAATGACCAGATCTATATTCAGTTTTTCTTTAAAAATAGGATTTGATCTAAAATATATTCAATTTTTTCAAAAAAGTGAGATGTGACATAATATATATTATCAATAAAAAAATGAAATCTAATTTTTTTTATACATAAAAAATAACTATATATGAGCCACGTAGTGATTTTAGACTAAAAAGTAGTTAGAAACTTTGGTTGGGACCAAATTTTGCTGACCTGAATTTATAAGGTACATAAAGTTAATATTTTGAAAGTGAAGGGCGAAAAAAAGTATTGTACAAAATGTGAACGGCGTTTTGAATAATTTTTTTTTAAAAAATTATAATTATGGAAACAACATATACCAGCTACTTATGTGGTTTGATGTTATAGTTATTTAATTGATTTTGTGCCATAAAATACAACCAAATTACACTAATTAACGTTAAACAACTAAGGAAAATGGTCAAATTTAGACCAGGTACAATTGAATTTTGTTGCAATTGTCTAGTTATTATACTTTTTACATAATATAGTGTACTCTTATACAATTTTGTGGTACTTAAAATTTTATTCGTGTTATGCATAAATACAAGTGCATTTGTAAATGTACACTATGTTGTAAATGAAGTACAACAACTACACGTAAGAGCACCAATCATTCTATGTCAAAAGTACCTCCCTCCCGTAAACTTTAATGATTGATGATATAATATAGTGCTACAGAAAAGAAAAATAAATCTACTAGTACTACATAAGAAATGAAGACGCGTGCTTTGGAAACTTTTTTCTTGCCAGTTGAAATATTTTGGTGCTGATCAATTTTCCCGTGAAGAATCTGTAGTTTCCCATCTTTCAGTCTTATCTCCCCTTTCAAGTTTTCAGACTTTTTGCTCGTTGCTTACCTACACAATATAATCCGGAGAAAAAAAAAAAAAGAAGAGTGAAAAATGGCACTGATAGAAGTCTTTCTTGGTGCAATCATCAAGGTGGTATTTGACAAGCTTGCTTCTGTCGATTTGAAGAAATTTGCACGCTCAGAAGGCTTAGATACTCAGCTGAAACGATGGATCCAAGTGCTATCCCTGATTCAGGCAGTGCTTGATGATGCAGAGGACAAGCAGAATATGAGGATTGCTGTGAAGCACTGGCTAGATGATCATCAGGATTTGGCATATGATATGGATGATGTGATCGACGAATTCTCCACAGAAGCTTGTCGAAGAAAGTTGATGGAAGCTCAAGGCTCTACTAGCAAGGTAAGAAAGGTTAAAATCCCTTCCTGTTGTACAAGTTTTTCTGTTAAAGATTATAAGTTCAACAGAAAAATGACTCCCAAGGTGGATGAAATAACTAGAAGATTGGAGAGCCTGAAAGAACAAATCAAAATCCTCCATTTGGTAGAGACTGTAGCAAAGAGGCCGAACAAAACTAGGGATAGATTGCCATCAACTTCCTTAGTGGAGTCTTATGTTTATGGTCGAGAGAATGACAAAGAAGAGCTGCTGAAATTGCTCCTTTCAAATGAATCGAGCGATGATCAAGTGGTTGTGATACCAATTGTTGGCATGGGAGGGGTTGGTAAAACAACTCTTGCTCAAATGGTGTACAATGATGACAGAGTCAACGAATTTTTCGATTCCAAGGCTTGGGCTTGTGTTTCAGATGATTTTGACATTTTTGGGGTAACAAAGACAATCCTCAGAGCAATCACATCAGGTGGCTGTGATTATGAGGATCTGAATATGGTTCAAGTGAAACTGAGTGAGGCCTTGACCAGGAAGAGGTTTCTAATTGTTTTAGATGATGTTTGGAATGAAAAATATGAGGACTGGGACATCCTGCGCCGCCCATTTCTAGTTGGTTCATCTGGGAGCAAGATAATTGTCACCACTCGGCATCATAGGGTGGCATCAGTAATGTCTTCCACTGCTGGATATAGTCTGAAGGAGTTGACAGATGATGAAAGCTTATGCTTACTGGCAAGACATGCACTGGGAAGGACAAATTTTGACAGGTACCCCAATCTAGAAGGCATTGGTAGGAGTATTGTAAGGAAATGTAAGAACTTGCCCCTGGCCGTGAAGACTCTTGGAGGGCTGTTGCGTGCTAGATCGACCCCAGATGAATGGACGGATATACTGAACAGTGAGATATGGGAAATAAAAGAGGATCAAAGTGATATTCTTCCAGCACTGAGATTAAGCTATTATCATCTTCCTGCCCATCTAAAACCGTGCTTTGCTTACTGCTCCATATTTCCCAAGGACTATGAGTTTGACAAATATGAGCTAGTATTGCTCTGGATGGCAGAGGGTTTTCTCGAGGAATCAAAAGCAAGTGATCTTATGGAGGACATAGGGGACAATTATTTTAAGGAGCTACTAATGAGGTCCTTCTTCCAGCAGTCAAGTTCCAATAGTTCACGTTTTGTGATGCATGACCTTATTAACGATCTAGCCAGATATGTTGCCGGAGATTTTTGTTCAAGACTGACAGACGACTTGGAAGAGAACATCAAATGCACGATCCTTGACAAGGTTAGGTACGCATCATTCACAAGTTCATGGTATGAAGCTTCACAAAAGTTTAAAACTCTTCAGAAAGCAAAACATTTGCGGAGTTTCCTACCATTGCCCATTTTTGCCGAGGATGGCAGCGACGAGTTTTACATCGCTAAAAAGGTCATAGCAGAACTTTTGCCGGAATTGCGATACTCAAGGGTGCTATCATTCGGTGGCTATGCTATCTCTGAACTTCCAGATTCCATCAGTGAATTAATACATCTAAGGTACCTGAATTTGTCTGGTACTCGGTTGAAATTGTTGCCTGAATCAATGAGTAATCTTTGCAATTTACAAACACTACGTTTGGGCAACTGCAGGGAGCTGATTAACTTACCAGTAGGTATTAGAAAATTAATTAACCTGCGCCATCTTGAAAATTCCAATACTAGTCAATTGCATGAGATGCCTTCAGGGATTGATCAGTTGACGAGCTTGCAGACACTATCCAAAGTGGTTGTGAGCAAACATGGTGCGTTCAGGCTGAAAGACTTGGGGAACTTGTCCTTACTGGCAGGGTCACTCGCCATTTTGGAGTTGCAAAATGTTACGAATGTTCAAGAAGCACGGGATGCCAATTTGAAGGACAAGAGGGACCTTGATAAAATAGTATTGGCATGGAATAGTGAATATGATGATTCTCTGAGTAAAGTTCTTCAACAAGATTTGCTTGAGGCGCTACGACCACACACAAACCTAACGAGTCTTGAAATTGAGTTCTATAAGGGAGACAAATTCTCCTCCTGGGTGGGGGATTATTCATTTACTAAATTAGTAAAAGTAAGCCTTAGAGGTTGTACACACTGCAAGTGTTTACCATCACTCGGGCAATTGCCTGCGCTCAAGGATTTGAGCATTCAAAGCATGCTTGAGGTGAAGGCAGTAGGTACCGAGTTATGTGGCAAAGATTGCTCTTGGGAATTTTCCTTTCCATCGCTCGAAAGTCTAACATTTGATGACATGCCAGAATGGGAGGAATGGACTTGCTTAAGTTCAGCAGGAGAGAACGAATGCCACTTCCCTCTGCTCCGAAAGCTCTGTATAAGTAGATGCCCAAAGTTGAAAAGCATTCCTGTTTTGCATCTTCCTTCACTTTCTGAACTAAAGTTAGATGAGTGCTCGGTGGGAATTGCAAAATGTTTTTACAATTTGACCTCATTAAACAAATTGGAGTTTTGGCAGATTATAGGCCTTGCATCCCTCGAGGATGTGTTCATGCAGTTTCCATCAGGCCTTGAAGATATCGCATTACGCAGCTGCCATCAACTGAAGAATTTGTGGGGCTCAAGTACTACACGTGTCTTACCTATGCTTAAATATCTTACGATAGAAAGTTGCAGTGCTCTCCAGTCTTTGCCTACATTATCTGGTCTTAACAGATTGCGAATAAGCTTTTGCTCTGCCCTCAGTTGCTTGCCAATGGACAAGTTGCTCCTCCCTCAGCTTAGGCATCTTGAGATCTTTGATTGCCATAAACTGAACCTTACTCCGGAGATTGTCATAGAGGACACCAGCACATCGATTGAGGGACTGCAAATCTTTGGCTGCCCATGTCTGAATTTGAGAACAATGCTTGGTTCAGTCTACAGTTTTGCAAGTCTCCGGTCTTTGGATATTAGGGATTGTGATTATCATCTGGATCAATTGCCCACTCCAAATTTGGAACGTCTTTACTTGTGCAGATGCAAAAATGTTAGTTACTTGCCCAGTGGGTTGGGAAGACTAAGATCTCTGCAGTTGTCTTTTTGTTCAAGTCCTTTGTTATTTCCACAGGGAGATTTTCCTCCCAGTCTGGAGGGTCTTTACATAGAGGGAGGAGAAAACTTACAGCTGAAGCCACTGTCAGAATGGGGACTCAACAGACTCACGTCTCTTGAAAGGTTCCGCATCCGCGGTGGATATCCAGAGCTGGAATCATTTTCTGGTAGCGGTGATGATGGATTCGCTTTGCTTCCTCCAACTCTCAGGTCCGTCGACATTGGTGACTTACCAAATCTGAAATCGCTCTCCACGCTCTTGCGAGGTCTTACAGCTCTTAAAGGTCTGCGTATCTTTGGCTGCCCCAAGCTTGGATCCCTACCAAAGGAATCGCTGCGTAATCAGCTTAAACTTCTCAGAATTGATACATGCCCACTTCTCGAGAAAAGGTGTTTGATGGATAGAGACTACTGGCGCGTGATTGAAGACATTCCCTGTGTGGGAATAGGCAGTGATCTACAGCGGGTATATACGTGTCTATGTATATATTTTTCTTTTTAGTTTTTGCAACAGGTTTACATATGTGTGTGTATATATATACATATATATACATGTACACACATATGTATGTATATGTATATATACAATCATTAATTAACAACAGGTTTCTTTCTTTCTTTTCCTCTTTGTTATTAAAATTTGGGTTATTATAATAAAATTGAGCTTTTAAATATTTGCTATATATGTTGGCTTCTAAACTTATTTGACGAGTTGGGAATTTTTAAATTGGGCTTTCTGATCCATAAGTTCAATTACAGAAGAAACAAAATGTCCACTGTTTGAACATAAGCCTACATGCATGGGCCCAGAAAGTTTCTTTTTTCCATTAACCACCCCATTCGCCCCACTAGTTACATTAGCCCCAAAATAATAATCCCAAAAGAATTTCAGATGGCCCTTTTCAGATGGCCCAAATGATATTGGATCCCAAAAACAAAAAACAATTCTAAAAGGCCACTAGAACTTGGACCAGTCCAACAAAAACAACCCAAGAGTTTGCTAGAGTCCCTCAGCCCAATTAACTAATTAAATGATCCAATTAATTGAAACCACAAGGGCCACAGCAGCATCAACAAGACAACAACTGAATTTGGTCTTGATCAGGTCATTATCATCATTACCCCGAAGGTTATACTGGATAGATTTGGTTTTTAAAAATTTAATGCTTAAAATTGTATCATACCATCTCATCAAGTGGTATGGCTAGGGGTGTGCAAAATCGAAAAATTTCGATTTACCTACTGAATTCGAATTGAATTCAGAATTTTTGAAATCGGTAATTCGAAATTCGGCATTGAAATCTGAATTTTCGATTTCGAATTATGCGAATTTGGTTCAAATTTGGTAATGGAGCTTTTGAAATCGGAAATCAAAATCAGAATTTTTTATTTCAATTTCATTTTATAATATATATATTAATATTTATTTATTTATTTATATAATACTATATATTTTTATTTCAATTCCGTTTTATAATATGTATATTAATACATATTTATATATATAATAATATTTTTCTATATAATAATATTTTTATAATATATGTAATATAAAATTTATATTATATAGCAATACATCTAACAAAAAAGAAAAAAAAGGGAAAAAAGGTTTCTGAATTCCGAATTTAATTCGGAATCGAAATCGAAATTGGAACTAGTTAATTTGAAATCAAAATCGGTCGGTAATTCCTATGCCAAAATTTCGAAAAATGCCGAATTCAAACTTCCAAATTACCGAATTCGAATTCGTTGCACACCCCTAGGTATGACACAATTTAAATCACTGAATTTTTTTGAAATCGGATTTACCCAAATTTTGATTCACCAGCAGTGGCGCAGCTTCAACTTATTTCCCAACTCATAAGTCGGATGACTAAACACAACTGTTAAATATTTGTCTTTTAATTTTGTACAAATGGCCTGGCTCCAAGTGAAATTGCGTGCCATGAAATTCCATTTCTCCAGACAAATAATTCTAGAAATTATAAAGTCCTAAAGGAAATTATCAATTAAGTCGAAACGAATATTTAGAGATACAAAATCTACACCCATGCGCCAGATCTAGACATAGGGCTTCTAAGGAAAAAATTAAAACCTGAAAAGCTAATATCGTAGAAATATTCTTAACAAAAGTTCATAGTCTTACGTGGTTATAGCCGAAAGGATGTTGAATTCTTGTCCCCTTTTATGCCTCTTTCGTTGATCTCCTCTCCATTCCAAACACAAGCTCATACGATTGCAGCGGCAGATTTGTGACCATTGACCAATCTATATATATATGTGTGTGTACTCTATAAGTTATAGAGTACACACACATAACAGTCTCTTGGGTGATTTACCTTTTAGTCCTTACTCAATATCTATAACAGTCTATATAAATTATATTCAATAAACATGGGTGAATTAAAGGACTCCTACACTTTTAGTTCCCGTCTCCTGTCAAACCAAAAATTTTTAATTATAAATGTTAACGTATCAAATAATGGCCGAATCTTTCCACTCACTAATTGCATCATGAGAAGGAGTTGAACTAAATTTGGAAGACAAGCTATTGTTTTAAAACATAGGTGATTGAAACTAGAAGTCAAATTACATAGGCAGTTTGAAGTCCATTACGATCCCAGTATTGAAAAAGGGAACTTTAAAAATGTCAATATATCAAATAGTGAACTAAACTTTGACTCTATTAAGTCAGACAAGGAATCATTTTATAACATAGATTATTTAAACTAGAAGTCAAATTACTTAGAGAGTTTGGAGTCTATTAAGATCCGAGCAAACATCATTGAAATAGAGAACTTAAAAAAAAAAAATCTGGCTGCAATGCTGGATGAAGACTCATCACTGATGGATTGGTCAGAATACCACAATTATATCTAGAGTGAAAACTTGTATGATTCAAAACCTCTCTACTGTTGTTCCTTGAATACTTTAATGTTGTATTTTAATCTATTGATTATATTCATGACTGAATAGTTTGATTGGCACCTTGGTTAAATGCGTATTACTTGTTTATGAATTTTGAACCTTTTGATTTGAGAATTGGACTCTGTTTTTCTTCCTTCTTCATACACTTGCTTTGACATAATAATGAGATTATACAAAGCCTGACACTTAAAAGGTATACCTAGAAAAAGAATTTATTTTGATTTCGAAAATTTATGATTTCTACGGGGATTGTTTAAGGTAGATGATTTTTATCTCTACAATGCTAAGTTAACGATATGATAATCATAAACCAGCCCACATTAGAATTAGCTCAATCCTGAGAATTTTTAGCCGAAAATCCATATCTATATCTATATGTATTAGAGGGCAGGTTTTTAACGAGAACCCTCTACAATTTTAGATTTATTTTAATTCATTATTCCTTCTCCGCATCTCTTTTCATTTTTCCCATTTACGTGACTCACTAACCTACAAAATCATAACTCCATAATTTTAACTAACATTTATTAACCACCCCTGCAAAATTGCATCTGCAAATTGTAAACCACGTCTAACACTTAGCACACGACTCATAGTTATAACCAACTCATAATTTAAGGAACTCAGTACTATGGAAAATACATATCCAAAATTTAGGAGCCCGTTTGCATTATAATTTCCATACAACTCCCACAATTCTACATATCTTACTCTTATAACGAATCTTACTCTCATAATCATTCACAAAAACTAAAGATCACGATTACATTCATTTCTATCCATATATCATTCATTTTTTAATATAAATTTCTATTATTATTTCAGGATCCATCTTTCACAAAAAAAAAGTAGTTTTCGAATGATGTACACATTTTATCACACTTTGAGCTATTGCTAGACAAATCTTAGATTTTAATTATATCGGTACAATTTTTTTACTTTTTGTTTAATTCACACTCTCTTTTAATTTCTTTCAATAATATTAGTGCCTTGCTTAGAAAAGAAAAAAAAAATTGAAGAAGTGTGTTTGTTTTACAATTTAGCCTTAACCCTATATCTGAGCAAGTTTACTTAACCTATCCAAATCATAACCAATCAATTGAAGGTCATTAAAAGTTAAATACCATTTTATGAATTTGGAATATTTTGGATTGATATTAAAGGTGGTGACTTTGATTTGTCTACAGAATTAACTGTGAGACATTTTTTAAAAATTTTTTATTAGGAGAGAACTGAGATTTAAGAAATAGGAAGGAGGAGGAGGAATTCAAATCCAGAACCTCTATTGGGGTATCAACTAAACTTATAATAAGATAGTTGTCGATTCACATAAATAATTATATTAACTTAAAATCATCATGTTCCAAAGAGTCAAAATACTCCTCTTGATTTTTTGTTTCTTATGCAAGTTATAGGATTTGTCATGTGAACATGAGTTAACCAAATAATCCGAAACTTATTCCTCTCTAATTAAAGCTCTTTCAGTTTGCCTATAAGGAATAAGGTAATCTGAGGACATTGGTTATTTGATTATTTTGGCAAAATCCGGCATAAATGAAGCATGTTTTGGTGAAGAACTTTGAACCTTTGTGTTTTAGAGTGAATAGATACTCATTCTAAAGCCAGAAGGAGAATAAAGTAAAATTGGATGTTTTCAAAATGGTTTCAAAGGACTTCTGGATAACTTATTGCTAACAGAAGTGTGGTTTTATGACAAAAGATGGTTGGAGTTAGAGGTTTGGTCCAAATTGGATTTATTTTTGTTAGGAATTTAATATTAGCATTTTAAATTTGAGGACAAAAAATTCTTTGGCAAAATGTGTAGGATGTTTGTGCTATTTTATCTAAAAGAAAGAAATAGAAGACATATCAAAAGCTACCCAACTCAAATAACTTCTGTCCTATAACATTTTCTCGTCCTACAAGAACACTTCTTTAAATACTACAAAAATTCTTAATTCAGTTTTTAAAATTATTTTATAAATTATACACATGCAGTGCACGTGATTTTTATTTTTTTTTTCTAGTGAATATAAACATCAGTAGTATGGAAGGATAGCAGTACCATTACAAAGAAAGTGCAGAAACAATCTTATGGTCATAGGCCTCTTATGTAAACCATCATTAAATCTTCGGCGCAAATCTTCACATTGTCCCTACAACCAACATCGTATCGATGAAATACAAAGAAAGTCAAGAATGCCTCTGATAGTTTTGGAGTCAGTTCTACCAAATGAAAGAATTACTATTGGACACAGTTCAGTACTTTAAGCCATGCTTCTTATTTCACGGTAGAGACATAAAGGTGTAAAATCACGCAAGAAAATGGTTAGTAAGCCAGCCATGCTTATCTAAGGCCAAAATATATTTCTTCCAATTGAGATTCATTGGGTAATAAGAAGGTTATTTGTATTGCTTGCCATTTCTACAGCTGGAATGCCTAGATGAAAATAGCCTTTCTAACACTAACTCTGCTTCTCACTTACAGCTTCACATTTAACCCTACAAGCAGTGATGCTCAAAAACCAAATCAAGGGCCTCTAAGAAAGGGATGATACCAAAAGAAAAGGGACAGGTATTGCTGATTTATAATATTACAAGGAGCATGTCATATATT